TTAGCCACTCGATAGTGCCGCCGACTGCTTGCCGACAGTAGCCCTCGACTGTGTCTTCCGAGTCAGCCTCTCGCTCGCGGCACGCGTCGCTGCGGCCAGACTGTGCCGTCTCAGGGAGCAGCGACCTTTGAATCGCCTGTGTCTGCTCTCCTCTTCGGCAGGGAGGACAGGCGAGACTCCTTTCGTCCGTCCGAGAAGAGTTTAGCTTCGCAGCAGAAAATGTGTCGCTCCCGCCTTGACACGGAAAAGAGCGGCGGAAAATCAAGGGAAAAATCTAATTCTCTGGTATTGCTAAAAACCTCTCTCTCTCTGATTCGTCGGCGGGATGTGCTTGCAAATGTCATGTAACGCCATTTCATGTAAAGACGTGTTCATGTGGGTGGTCGCTCCACCTCATATACACCGCCGCGACCGCCACTCATCGCCTCTTTCGGGATGCCATGCGGGATGCGGGCTGCTGCTGCTGCTCGCCATTCACGGGCTCGGAAGTAGCTCCTCCAGCCGGCTGCGACGGCGGCGATGGCCTCAGAGACATCACCTGCAGCAGCGACGTCGACCACCGCGCGAGCGCCGAGGACCCGTCCTGCTGGGCCCGCGGCTGCTGCTGCTGCTGCGGCTGCTGCTGCTGCTGCTGCTGCTGCTGCTGCTGCTGCTGCTGCTGCTGCTGCGGTTGCGCCTCCTCCTGCTCGCGGCCCGGCTGCGACGCCGGCGGCTGCCGCTGCTCGCGCCCGGCCACGCGGAAGAGCGCCTGCGCGCGGCTGACGACCCGGCGACTCACTCAAATCATGGGGTCTACTTTACCCGGCGACTCCACTCAGATCATGGTCTCCCGTGTGAATGTTGAATACAACTGGCGTGTCGGCGCACTTACAATCAGCCTCCCACGACCCCCTCCTGCTGATGCTCCTCTGGCGCCGTGAGCTGGATCCGGATCTTGAGCGGCTTGCCTCCGCCCACCGTCTCTGGGCAGCACTCGAGCCGCAGCAGCCTCTCGTAGCCCGGCGCCGCGAGCCGCGCGACGTCGCTCAGCCGCACAACCGGCGCGGCGCGGCGCGGCGCGGCTCGAGTCTTTCGCGCCGACGCCTTGCCGTTTGTGTAGGCGCTGAAGCAAGCGCGGTCCGGCTCGAGCCCGTCCTGCCGCAGCGCAAAGGCGACGCGCAGCGCCTCGTCGGGCCGGCCGCCTGCGGGGGCACGTCGGGCACGCGTCACCCGACAGTCCACGCGACGTCTTCGCCGCGTCGGTTAGGTCCGCCGATGCCGCACACTCGCAGGAGGGCGTGAGCCGCCGCCCGCTCCGCCTCCGCCGCCGCCTCCTCCTCTGCGCCGCCAGAGGCCTCGCGGCGCCATGAGCGGAGGAGCGGCCGGATCTCCCGCCAGAGGGAGATCGCGCCCGCGACGTCGCCTCCGCACGCCGTGATGGCCGAGTGAGCGACGGCGCCCGACGGAGAGGCGCCGGCTCCGCCAAAGGTGCCCGCCTCCACGCCCCGCTGCAGCAGCCTGGCCGCGCTCTCGCGCCGCTCCCGCCGCGCCGCCGCGCCGCCGCGGCCGCGCTCAGCCGAGCCCTCGTCCGCTGCCAGAGCCGCCGCGCGCACCGCCGTCAGCGCGATCGAGTACGAGTGCGCGTCTGGCGGCTCGCTCGGCGGAGTGCGGAGCCTGGGGCAGGAGGGAAGGGGACGGGGGTGTGGGAATGCGGTCTCGTGCAGCGCCTCCAGAGCCTCGTGGGAGTGCAGCCTCTCGCCCAGCCTCTCGTGCAGCCTCGTGGGAGTGCAGCCACCGGAGTGCGTTCTCGGCATCTAGAGGCGGGGCGGCGCCAGCGGGCGGCCGGCAGCGACGGCGCGAGGGGCTCGCCGCTCGTCACGGCTGACCAGCGCTCGAAGTGGGCCGTGGCGGCGGCGGGCTCACCCGCCGCAAGCAGCGAGCGCAGGTAGAGGTTGTTCGAGCGCGCGCCGCTCGCGTGCCAGCCCCAGCCGTGCCGCGCCCCGTCGGCCGCCATGGCGCCGAGCAGGCGGGGCGCGGCGCCCGGCTTGCCAAACTCGATGTACGCCTGCGTGCGGGCGTAGACAAGGCTGGGAGTGGAGTCCGAGGGAGGCCTCCGCGCGGCCTCTCACTACACCGGAGGCTAGCAGGCGGTGCCACGGCTCATCTCGGCTCATCTCGGCTCATCTCGGCTCATCTCGGCTCATCTCGGCTCATCTCGCCTCGATCAGGTGGTGCCACGTGCGCGCGTCCCTGCGCACCCTCCGGCCGCGGCCCCACCGCCAGACGTCGCGCGTGCGGCGGAGGTCGGTCTGCAGCCGGAGCAGCGTCGCGAGAGTGAACTTGTCCGGAGCCACGCCCAACTTGCCCATGTCGCTGAGCAGCCACCGCCACTCGCTCGGCGGTGGCCTGCCCGCAGCGCCGCCGTCGCCGCTCCCGCCAAAGCCGGCCAGCAGAGTGTTGAGGGTGTCGGTGGCGGGTCGCGGCGCAACGACGCCCGAAGCCGGCTCGAGGGCGGCGGATCGCATCTCGCCGTACAAGCGCACCTAGCGTGACACGATTGCGGCGGGGGGCGTGACACGGTTGCGGTGGCCGTTGAGCGTGATGTGCAGAGCGTTGACGAGTGCGCAGCGCACCGCGCCCGCCCGATCGCCGCACTGCAGCCGCGCGCGCAGGGCCATGTTCCACGCTGCGACACTCTGTGAAGGGCCGTCGCCGCCGCCGCCGCCGCCGCCGCCGTTGCCGCCGTCCTCTGCCTCGTCTGAGGAGGAGCGCAGCAGCCGCTCGAAGAAGAGCGAGACGGACTCCGGCTCGTCCGCCGCCGCCGCCGCCGCCATCGCGCCCACAAGCGACCACCCGTCTGGCGGGGAGCCGACCCAGCCGCGAGCGGGCACCGCGTCTGCGCGCGCAAAGAGGCGGAGCGCCGCCTGAGGCCTGGCCGCGGACAGGGCGCGTCGGAGAGTCTGTGTGCCCCGTGTGCGCCTCGCGAGGGTCTCGCACCTGCGTGCGCGCGTCTCCGCCTTCATCAGAGCGTTAAGCGTGTGGGCGGAGGGCGTCAGCTTCGCCCGGCGTAGGGCGCGGTACGCGTGCCACGCGAGCAGGCGGTTGCGGCGAGCGGCAGCAGCATGAACGATCAGATCGAACGAGCCAGTGCTCGGCGCTACGAGGCCTCCGCTAGCCACGGCTGCGAGGAGAGCTAGTGCGCCCTCGAGGCGGCCCCGCCGCACCTCCGCCGCCACCTCGAGGTGGACCGTCGCCGGCGAAGGGCCCACGCCTGCGGCTTGCTGCATGTGCTCGTGGAGCCGCGCGACAGCGCCCGCCGGCGCATCGGTGCTATCCCTGCCGACTCTCATCAGCCGGCTGTATAGCGCGCGGACCTCGTCGTCGCTGCGCCGCGAGTTTCTCGCCGTCTCGTCGAGAGCGCGCAGCGCACCGTTGACATTTCCATTGAGGAGCGCTCCCTCGGCACGGTGGGCTGCATCCGCCCACGCGAGCGACTTAGCCCGCATAAGAGGCTAGGAAGTTCCTAGTGGGCCCGAGGAGCAACCAGGAGGACCTCGCCATTGTGCGACAAAAGAATATTTTATGCGCTGGCACGGGACGGGCGCGCAAAAGAAGTTTTTCTTAACGCGCCCGGGTCGACCTAGGTCGAGTGAGAAACACACTCGAAAACACACGGCGGGCGCCGACGGGCCATCTCGTCGGCCGTGTGACTCGCACGACTCGCGCCCGCGTCATGCACGAGTGCGCCTCGCACTCGTGGCTGGTCATCCTCGGCACGGGCCGCTCCGGCTCGACGACCATCCTCTCGATGCTCAATACCGTGCCGCAGATACAAATCTCCGGAGAGAACTACGGCATGATGAACCCTCTCGCTTATGTCCTCACCCGCCACCAGGCGCCCCTCTCCAAGCTCAAGCACCTCAACTTCAAAGGGTACAGCGGCAGCAGCCGCAGCCCGTGGTACGGAGTGAACGGCGAAGAGGTGCGCGATGCGCTCTGCTCGGTCGTGCTCCGCCTCGCCCCGCACGACAAGACAAAGCACCGCCCCCTCATCCGCGGCTTCAAGGAGGTGCGCTGGGAGCGGTCTGTGCTGGGGGCCGTCGCGCTGCTCCCGGGCGTGCGCTTCGTAGTCAGCTACAGGAGGGATACGAGCGGGCAGGCGGCGTCCGGGTGGCACTCGTGGAACGGCTCTGCGAGGGCGGCTGCGGGCTGGGCCTCCCCAAACCAGGGCATCGACGAGGCCACACGGGCGATGCTGGAGGCGGTCAACGCGACAGGCCGGCCCACTTTCCATCTCCCCCTTGAAGACTTCTCCACCGCCGCCTTCAACCAGCTGCTGCGGTGGGTCGGCGTGACCAACTGCTCATTCCGTGGCGTGGTGCACGAGCACTCCGGGGGTGGGTACAGCGCCGATGCAGCCGACCCTCGCAGCCTCATCGAGCAGAGGAGCTGCCATGTTGCGCGGGCGCGGCGGGGGGCGCACGGCGCAGTCGTTCAACGCAGAGGGACCGGCCTTCGGGAGCGGGCGGGGCCACCGCACTGGTGACGTGAGACTGTGACTGAGAGACGCGTGTCGTGCACCACGTGTTAGAGCATAGAGGTCTCAGAGCGGTGTGTAGTATATCACACTACTCTGACTTTAATTTCCGACCGGACCCTGCGACTCTGCAGGTGAGAATTTTGTGGTGGGTATTGCTCAATCTTAAGATATAGTGCTTCTCGTCGTCGGGGAAGACTGATTACATTTGATTGGAGCGAAAGAACATTGCGTGTGTGCGTGTGTGTGTGTGTGTGTGTGTGTGTGTGTGTGTGTGTGTGTGTGTGTGTGTGTGTGTGTGTGTGTGTGTGTGTGTGTGTGTGTGTGTCTCGCGTGCTCTCCTCGCGTCGAGAGAGACGAGAGGGCGCGTGGTAAAGGTAGTACAGCAGCCACACATGACACTCCTGTCTCCTCCTGCGTGGCTGCGTCCTGGTCACCGCTGGATGGCGCAGCTTGCGCGCTAACCGCTATGCGCTATCCGCTATAACGCGGTGTATATCTGTATGCCTAAAATTTCTGTGAATATTTATCTCGCGCGGCGGCGCGCGCCCTGCGCGCGTCTCACAGAGGGGTAGAGAGGGAGCTCTCGCTCCGCTCTCCCCGGACCCGGTCCGCCACGCCACGCTCCACGTGCGGGTCGATCAACGTAGTGTCCGGTCACCGACATGCGACACCGACGTGTACTTCGGGGGTACTGCCCGCGTCGCGCATGCAGCAACACCATGCGGTAGTGTGGGGTCGGGCCGAACAACCAGTCATGCATGCCAGGGAGCACGATTGCAACATGCATGCATGCACAGTGGACTGCTACTCCTCGAGCTACTCCGCCGTTCCGGGCCTACGGGAGCGCTGCTAACGCACAACCTCTGCAGCAGCCTGCTGCTGGCGCGCAGAGTCCTGCGCAGCACCGACGGCAGCCAGCGCCTGCGGGGAGAGCGCGAGGTGAGGGAAGGTCGAGGGAAGCGGGACGGGAGAGTACTCGGCGCCTCGCGGTGCTTTCGGTTCTGCTCGGCGGTGGGGGTGTGGCCGAGGATCCGGTCGGCCCAGAGGAAGAACTGGTGGAAGTTGACGTTGCCTGTGCAGCAGACCGGACGCAGTGACACCGCGCCGCAGTCGCAGCTGCTGCGGCTGCTGCGGTTGCTGCTGTGGTGCTGCGTGCTGTCTGGCGAGTGGTGTCTGGTGCTTGGTGTGAGGCGGTCTGCAGCCGCCGCCTTGCTGGTGGTGCTGCTCGTGCGCCACGGGCCCGCCGAAGAGGCCCGGGAAGAGGCGGTGCGACATGAAGGGCAGGTCGTAGCCGGAGTGGGACTCGCACAGGAGGTAGACCACCATCACCTACAGGGGGACTCCTCCGGTCCAGGGGAGGGTGGGTGACTCGCACAGGAGGTAGACCACCAATCACGTTGTGCAGCGCGCGCGAGAGTGGGTGCTTGAAGCCCCAGGGAGAGAGGTGCTGCACGAAGATGTTGATGAACACCTGCACGCCCGCGTCCAGGTACGAGTTCTGCACCTGCGGGGAAGGGCCGGGGAAGGGCCGGGGAAGGGCCGGGGAAGGTTCGGGGAAGGTTCCGGGACGGTGCCGAGCCGCGGCGAGGTGCGAGTGATGCACCGTCTCGACGGCGTTGTGCGCCGCCGCCTCGGTGGAGCCCCACACGTGGTGGCGCGCGTGCATCTTGCGCCAGCGGCGCGCTCGCAGCTTGTGGAAGGAGAGGTGGAAGGGGTAGAAGAGCGCGTCGTACAGAAAGACGCCGAGAGAGAGCTCGGTGACGACCCTGCCCCACGTCGGCACGCCGGGGCCGTGCGCGAGCACGTCGGCGGGAGGAGGCCCGTACCTACCTCGGGTCGCGTCTCGGGTCACCTCCGGGCGAGGCTCGCGCCCGGAGATGTGCGTCGGAGGAGGAGCCGCACAGCAGCTGGCCGAGGCTGAGCTCGTGGTAGACGTAGATCGATCCGAGGTACGTCAAGGCGGGCACGACCGTCTTCCACCACTGTGTGGTGAAGCCGCGGAGAGGCCGCTTCGGCGCCGCCCCGTCGAGCCGGTACACACGCGGGTCGACCACCAAGTGTATGCTCTCGAAGAAGAGGATAAAGGCCACAAAGCAGCTCACCGCGAGCGAGGCCTCAAACATGCGGTCGTGCGTGAAGGCGCATGAGTCGAAGAGGCCCCACGCCGCGGCCGCGAAGCCGTCGGCCACCGCTGGCGCCAGCAACGCACCAGCGGCGACACTCACATGCATGGCTTGGAGTCCACGAGTGAGAAGCGGAGCCGCGGCCGGAGTCGCCGGCACGAGAATAGAGCGCACCGGCGCGCGCAAGGCGGCCGGCGCGTGCGCACGCACGGTCGGGGAGGGCACAAATGTCTGGTGCGTGATCGCGAGCAAGGGCAACATTAACCAGGCAGGGTGCCCAGCAAGTCCGCGCCGATGATAACTGCTGATGGCGCTTCAAGAATTTTCACCTCTAGGCAGCTGGAAGCGCTGTCAAAGCGGTGTTTCGACACCGATATCGTTCAAGGAGTTCAGGGTAGTGAAGAATAAATCAGTAACCAGCCGCCGGTCTAATCATAGATAGAGGCCGTCAAGTGTGACATTTAAGTCCACACACATAAACAACTGGTATTGCTAAAAATCTCTCTCTCACTGCTGATCGCCCTGATAACTCTGATCGCCCTTGAAGAATTATTTTTTTCACGTGTACCTATGTTGGAAAGCAAGACAGAGTCAGAGAATATGGAAATTTCACGTCATGACGGTTAGCCGCTGTCACGACCGTTAGCCGCTGTCACGACGCTGGGAGCTGTCATGACAGCAAACGACAGCGACAGTGACACCTACCTGTCACCAGCTGTCACCAGCTGTCACCAGCTGTCGTTGCTGCTGTCATTGCTGCTGTCATTGCTGCTGTCATTGCTGCTGTCTCTCATGTGTCATGAGCACCCCCGCAGGACAGTGTCACAATGGGATGTGGTGCCACTAACGAGAGAGACAGGACACTCAAGATATATACACGCGCGCGCGACGACCGCTCAGCGCTCACTCGCACGCCCGACGCCACATGAGAAACCCTCTCTCTCAACAGTAGCCACGCACCGTCAGCAGCAGCGGGCGTGAGTCACAGAATCTGCAAAACCCTTGCCCTCCTTCCTCCAGCATGTCATGGTTGCATGTGCCGTGATGGGCTCCAGCGCTGGTTCATCTGCCGCTCAAAAATCTCATGCGAGCGAACGGCGTCAATCATCAACCGCGAGGATTGGGACCTTGAAATCCACGGATCGCAAGCAAACGCGCAGAGCATTGAGCAACACACCTCGGGTATTGAACCTCTTGGTCATTGCCGAGCCACAGCTGGCGTTGATCAGGAACTCTCATGTAGAGAGCTCGGCTCAGCTACAAGAAAGCAGGCTCGCCCTACACAGAGAAATTCTGAGGTAGAGGAGCAGGAGTTTTGCAAAACGTGTGAGACCGCGTACAAACGCTGCTGTGCATCAAGCGCTGAGAGCTACATCCACGCGCACCGGTGTCTTATTTTAGTCCATGGGGTGTAATGCACAGATGGGTGGGTGGGCGGTTGGGCCCCTTCGCTGGTGCCTGTCACTAGGGCTAATGGCTGCCTCACTGTGGCGCTGGCGCTGCCTCGCTGTCGCTGTCGCTGTCGCTGTCGCTGTCGCTGTCGCTGTCGCTGTCGCTGTCGCTGTCGCTGTCGCTGTCACTCACTCGCAGGGTCCCGCGCTGACATTGTCACCGCCTGCCTGTCGCTGGCGTTCACTGGCTTCACTGTCACTGTCACTAACTATGGCTGTCACTGTTCTTGGGTGCCTTTCACTCCCTGGCAGCTGTGGCTGTCACCAGCTGTCACCAGCTGTCACCAGCTGTCACCAGCTGTCGTTGCTGCAAGCAAGGTTCCTCGGAAACTATCAGTGTGTGAATGTTATAAACGCGGACTAACTAAGAGTTTATAAACACACCTGGTTCACGACTATTTAAGACTATTTAACAGGATCGCCCGCTCCCGCGTGAAGTTCAATTAAACGCGCGTTTATTTGAACTGATAAACCTCGTTCATAAACTCAATAAACAGGGCCCTGTTCGCGCGTCCCTCTTCGATCGGTCGCTCGTCCCTGTTCGCGCATTAGGTCTTTTTCTTTCGGAGGGACGATTGCTCAAAAGAATGACCCCCAGGTCTGGACGAAACCGTAGTTCTATTCCCTCGGGCCGGGGGGCTGCCCAGCAAGGCCCGAGAGGAGGTCATGATACCCAGGCAGATCATCCGCTGCCGGCCGCGCGAGCCCGGCAGCACGAAGACGCTGCATCAGAATGGGAAGGGTGTCCCTATTGCCGTGAATGCAGAGCCTTAATTTTGGCATTGAGATTTGGAATCGGAATCGCGAGAATCGCGAATGGCAGACGCGCCTTGCTCGCCAGTGGCCGCCGCGGAGCGGCACGACCCCTTCACGCCGTCCAACGTCGGACCCAACACGCCAGGCAAGCGCGCGCCGACAGCCGCGATCTGGACGGAGAAGCAGTTCCTGCGCCTGCTGCCGGGCGGGCGGCGCAGCGCGCCGCTCATCGCCAAGGGCTTCACGCACGTCTGCGTGCTGCGGCGCGACTCGGACGGCAAGCCGTGCAACACGCCGCTGAAGCTGACCAAGAACAAGCTCGGCGGCACCTGGCTCTCCACCAAGGCGCTCGCACACGTCAGGAACGACCTCGAGCACGCGTCGCACCCGCTCGCGATCCAAGAGTGAGCCGGCTCAAGTACCGCAAGATCTACCGCGAGCAGCTCAACGAGCAGTTCCAGCACACCGTGGTGCGCGACACGCCGCCCAGCCTCACCGAGCAGGAGACGGCCAAGGGGCTGAAGGAGATGATCGACGCGGGCTTCTCGCCGGCTGAGCTGGGCATGGACCCGGTCGACGCGGCGCAGGCCTACCGCATGGCGCTGATGGCGCAGAACAAGTCCAAGGGTGCGGGCTCCTCCTCCTCGGCCGTGGATGTGGACGCGGACTGAAAGAGGTGGCGGGGGGGGGGGGGGTCCTGATTGGGAAGAGTTCCCCCACGTTCGCGTATGATTCCTTGGCGCGACAGGAGTCCCTGCTCCGTATACACACGGACACGCGCGCGAGATATGGTTGTGCGCCGTTTTTTCGAGTTTCTGCTTAAAAAGTTTATGAACGATGTAAATTGTTTGTTTAGTTCATTTATCGGGGCGGTCGCCAGCGGCGCGGTGTTCAATTAAACACGGGTTCATAAACACTGTGTTTATAAACACCAAAAGTTTATAAACCCTGTTGAACTTCACACACTGGGAAACTTCAGTCACGTTGCGGCAGTCTCCACCCACGTTGCCGACTGCCGACATATGTTCACGTTCCTCCCACCTCTGCTCGCGGCCCTCGCACCGGCCACTCTGGACGTCAGCCGCCGGTCCGCGTTACAGGGCGCGAGCCTCGCGGTGGGCGCACTGGCGGCCACGACCGGCGCTGGCGCCGGTGCGCAAGCGTTGGCTGTGCCGAGAGATTCTGGTCCGTCCGCCGCCACCGTCGCCGCAGCTCCCGTCGCCGCCGCCGCAGCTCCACTAGTCCTGCCGGCGATGGGCATCGGTGCGTGGGCGTGGGGCGATTCGCTCTTTTGGAAGTATGATGCCAAGTTCGACTTTGAACTGGAGGAGCTCTTCGAGTACTATGCCTCGCAGCCCGACGCGTTTCTGGACACCGCTGAACTGTACGGGCTCGGACGGTCCGAGATGCTGATCGGCGACTTTGAGCGCAGGTCGGGAAAGCGAGTCAAGGTTGCCTCCAAGTTTGCGGCGCTGCCGTGGAAGACCAGGCGCGAGAGATGCCATCGAGGCGCACTCGTCGGCGACAACCTTCTCGGAGCCTCTCCTCGGATGCTCCCTACTAGGCGCGAGGACGTCGTCCAGGCGTGCGAGGCCTCGCTGCGGCGCATGGGCAGGAGCTCGATGGAGCTGTATCAGATTCACTTTCCCAACGCGTGGGCCAACGAGGCGCGCGGAAACGGCCTCCGAGTTTGCTGCTCCTCGGGGAACATGCTCGGACGCGTCTCGCACGTTGCCTCGTAGGCGTATTGGGACGGCCTCGGAGACTGCTACGAGCGCGGCCTCGTCCAGGCGGTTGGCGTCTCAAACTACGGCGCCGACGCGGCACATGACACCGTCCACGACGCGTCCATGACGCGTCCACGAGTGTCGCCTCAGGCGCCGACGCAGTCGAGGCGGTCTCGACGTCGCTCGGGAGGAGAGGCATCCCCCTCTACTCGAACCAGATCCAGTACTCGCTGCTCTACCCCTTCGCAAACTCGAACGGGCTGAAGCGCAAGTGCGACCAGCTCGGCGTCAAGGCGCGCGCCCTATAGTGGGACTAGAGGCGGCTTCCTCCGTCGACCCCGGATGCCTCTTGCCCCGCTGCCCCCGCCAGGTGCTCGCCTACTCGCCCATCGGCCTCGGATTGCTGAGCGGCAAGTACTCGGCCGAACAGCTGCCCGAGGGACCGCGCGCGGAGCTGGCCAAGGCCGTCCTCCGCCCTCCCTCGGGACATCTCGGGCAAGCTCGACTCATCTCGGCTCGGCTCGGGTAGGCCTTCTTCAACGGCCAGCCCGAGACCGCCGCTGGCCTGGTCGACGCAGTCGCGAAGACGGCGGAGAAGCACGGCGCCACCCCCTCCCAGGCGGCCGCCCGTGCCGTAGTGGTAGCAGCAGCTCCACTAGGCGACTCTCCTCTTGCGGCGGCGCCACCCTTTCGCAGGTGGCCATCAACTGGTGTGTCGCCAAGGGGACGATTCCCATCCCGGGCGCGCGCAACCTGAGGCAGCTCAAGGATAACTTGGGCGCGCTCTCGTGGAGGCTCGACGCGGCCGACGTCGCGCGGCTCGACGCGGCCAGCGCCGCGGTGCAACCGCTCGCTAAGGCGAACCCGTTCCCAGCCAAGGACGTCGGGAGCGGGCTGAGGATGTTCGACTCTTGAGGAATGCACACCACGCGTCTTTGTCGATGTCTAAAGTAGTCCGCCACAGGCGTGTTTCGAGTTTTCTTTTCACACAGGCCTTTTGAGAGGTCGCCGCGGGGTGCGGTTGGCGCTGGGAGGCTGGAGCGCCACATTGGCATTATTGTGGCCGTTGCCCCAAGCGCGTCGACTTGCGGCCAACAGAGAGAACAGTGCGGTGTGATCAGTGGACAGTGCTCATCACCTTGAGACCCGCCCCAGAGGTGTGGCGCCGCTAAGCGGACGCGCCTGCGGACCTCTGCACACATGGAGCAGGCAGCAGCCGCGCCCCTCTCGGCCTCGCTCGCGCGCATAAAAAAAAAGGCGCCGCCTTTTCATGCGCCTTTGATGAATGGCCTTGGGCACCTTTTTGACACGCCCAGTTGGTCTTCGCCGCTCCCCTTCAATGTCAAAAACCACCCTCACCGCTGCTGCTCGGAAAGCCCACGCATGCGCGCGCGCGCGCACACACACATACCGCGGGGCCGCCGGGACGCCGGCCACGGCTTACGCCCCGCGGCCACCGGCCGGCCACGGCTCACGCCCCGCTCCGCCCGCGCCGCAGACAATCATGATGCGCATCCTCCTCTCGTCCCTCGTCGTCGCCGTGACCGGGTTCTCGGTGAACCCCAACGAGTGCAACGGCGTCGTCTACCCGCCGCCCGAAGCCGATGGCGGACCCGGTCTGCTCTGCGGCTTCACCTACAGTACGTCGCCCTAAACGCGTCGCCCCGTTGCTCCCCCCCAGCCCACCGACCATCGTCCCTCCCCGCCCTTGGCCATCATGACCTTGCCCCTCCCCGTGACTCGGCAGCGCCGGGCAACGTCTGCTCCTACGGGTGCGACATCGGCTGGGATGGCCTCCCCGGCTGCAAGTGCGCCTCGTGCGGCTGCACCCTGGAGGTGACGACCGGAATCTCACTCTCCCTCCGCACGTCCGCCCCTGTTTTCCGCTCTCGCGTTTTGACACCCCCCCCCCCCCCTTTGCAGTGCTGCACCAACGAGCCGCCCGAGCCCACCCCGGAGCCGGAGCCGGTTCCGGACAACGAGTGCAACGGCGTAATGTGCGCTCAAATTCACCGCACCGTCGCGGAAGCCGCGCTCCGCCAACCGCCGACTGAACACGTCCTGTCCCGCCAGGTACCCCGCCAACCCGCAGGCTTGCTTCACCACGTACCTGGAGAACAACGTCTGCTCGCGCGGGTGCGACGACGCTTCGTGGGCCGGACTCCCGCCGTGCCGCTGCGCCTCGTGCGGCTGCACCATGGAGTGCTGCTCCAACTAGACGAAGGGCGAGGCCGAGTTCTGACTCACCGCCACCAAGAGGCGGCGACACGAGAACACGGCCCCCTTAGTGCACCCCGGCATCCGGTGGCGTGGAGCCCTCTCGGGCGACCCGCCAGGCGGAGACACACCGCCAACCGGAACCCCCGAGCCCCCCCCTCCTCCGCGATTTTCCTGTAGCCTGTTGCTGTTGTCACACTTGGAATGTTGCTTTGGGCGCGGGCTCTTTCCCACCCCCGACACACATGTCGTAGCACCTTTCTCTTTCTGTGCTGGCCTCGTTAATTTTGGCTGTGCCCTCGCCTCTGTGGACTGTGCCCCGGCAGCTTTGCTTTTTGAATTTGTGATTCTCTGCACACTGCAGCAGGCCAGCACAGCAATCAGCATGCAACCTTGTACCCATACGCAAGAATTTCATTGTCTTGGACTGAACAGTGGACTAACACGGACCACGGTTGAGCTGCTGGAGTCTCTGGAGACTCAGACTGGCTGGACCCTGTCTGAGTCTGTGCCTGCATGGCCATGCTGCTCGTGCTGCATCCACGATTAGAGTACGAAGGTGGTAACAGCCAAAGACTCCAAGTGCCTGGCACTCGCCTTTGGTCCAGGCATAGACGATCGCACGCGTCGTTCACACACTACCCCAGCGGATCCTTTCGCCCACCTCCATCTGGGCCTCGCAGGATTCATATAATCTCTCGTTGAGGTAAAGGGGTTGGAGAAGTTGTCACTTAATTAAGTTGTCTATCTTGCAGCATATTCGAGTCTGTCTCTCCGTTCCCGACCAGATCGCAGTTGTGCTCGCACTGGACGTCACGTCGGCATTCTTCGCCGATCTTCGACTGTTTTCGCGCAGTAATCCGCGTGTGCCAACGGCCACCTGCTCTCCCTGGCAACACTCAAGGCAATCGCCATTGCCAACCCGGCTGCAGCGGTCAGCGAGGGCGGCGGCGGCGACGGCGGCGGCGGCGAGGGTGGCGGCGGACTCGAAGGCGGCGGGCTGGGCGACGGCGAGGGTGGGGGGGGCGAGGGCGGCGGCGGTGAGGGCGGTTGGGGGCTAGGCGGCGGAGGCGGCGGCGGCGACGGCGGCGGCGGCGACGGGGGCAGCGGCAAGGGGGGCGGTGGCGACGGCGGAGGAGGCGACGGCGGCAGCGAGGGCGGCGGTTGCTACCCCGTCGAACCTGAGTCCGCCTCGCACTCCGGCGTCGTGAAGCCCGGGAGGAGGTTCTTGAAGGGCGCAACTGCAGGGACGTCGAGGGCGTGAGCACGTATGAGTCGGAAAGAGGGGCGGGAGGGGGCCGTGATTGAGGGTTGCCTCCCGGATTGCGCGCACGAGTGAGTGCTGTGGTCCGTCGCTGTCGATGCTAGCCTGTGTTGTCATCGTGAAGCCGTCCTCGCCGCTAATCCACATGGCGGGTGCGCCAACCTCGACAATCTTGTCGGGCGCCGTCACCGCCGGCCCTCACCAATGGAAAAGTCGCCGGAGCGGTGAGCTCGAAGGACACGCCGATGTCGCCGTCGAGCGTGAGCTCCCCTGTGAGGGCGTGGGGTAGCTCTAGCAACGATGGCACGACAGCGGAGCGCGCGGCGGCACGAGCGTGGGGTGGGATGAGGCCAGGAGGTGCGGGGTTGGACCGTTGGAGGCGTGCGTAAGTGCAGTGGCGAACGGGTCTGGGGAGATGTTTTGATGCGGTGGCTCACCCGTAAGCACCAGCATCATGAAGTTGGAGAGCAGGTTTGGCAGTGGCACCCACGGCTCCGAGCCGACGCTCATCGTGAGGGTCGAGGCGCCGTTAGCGCTGACCGAACCGGCGACCTCAAAGCCAACCGAAGTGGATGAGCAGCTCGGGTGAAGAGCTGCCTCGCTGAAAACGGTCAGACCGCCAGGCGGGGCACACAACTCGAGCGAGGTAGACTCGAGAGTGTCTGGAATCAAAGTGACAGTTGAGTCGGAGGTGGCGCCTGCGAGCGAGGCGCTGCAGACAGGGTTTGTCGTCGGCCATGCCGAGGACCTCGTCGATGAAAGTAGCACCATCACGAACGCTGCGGCTGTCCGCCAGTTCCGGCTCGACGAGGACTGGAGCCGGAAGACCCAGGCACGCGACAGCGATCGCCAGCATCTGATCGCCTCGAAGGGTGTCGACACTCCCGGGACAACATCCAAAATGCGGCGGCTGCTGCAACAGGCCACCGCACTCGAGCGAGTCACGTGCCAAAAAAAGACTTTTCTCTGTGGAGAGTGTTGACTGAGTTATGTGAGCGGGCCTATGGCACAGCCGCTGTGGGGAGGACGCGAGTCGGACGACGACGGACGACGACGGACGAGAACGGAATTTCATCGCGGTACCAGTTCTTTCTTCCGTGTTGCGTGTTACCTGATACCGTCCCGTGTGTCCAGACACAGAAAGTACAATAGACGTATGAATGACCCCCGGGCCTGTGCTCTGCGGAGATAGGCAGCTGTGGCGAGCTGCGCGGTCCAAGTGCTCCGAGTGCGGTGCCGGGCGGCGCCGAAGACGGAAGATAAATCGCGAGAGCGCTGGACGGAAGAGCGGGCGCGCTATTGCTCCAGTTCACACGAGCAGCGCCGGGCCGTGCACTGGCAGCCGAAGCCTTCGCCGCAGTGTCTGTCGTCGCTGCACGCCGCGCCGCCGAGCGTCGTCGTGTCCACGCAGCGCTGCCACGCGGCACGGCCGCCCGCTGCGGCCCTGTAAAGGCAAGCGTTCGCGATGCGGCAGCCATTCGTGCAAGTCGCGCAAGTCTGGAGCCGGTCGGCTGTGCTGCTGCAGCTCTCTGCGCCGCCATTCCACGAGTGGTACTTTTCGTGCATCGCGCGGTACACCTTCGTGGGAAAGGCGGGGGTGAGAGGAGGGGGTGGGGGGGGTGCGGTCGCTGCAGCAGACGTTTTCGCGCCAAGTCGCCGTCCGCGGAGCCGCTGGTCAGCGAGTCGACCACCGCCGCGTAGTCTCCGTTCGAGATGCCGGCGGCGCGAAAGGCGGCGGGCGTGGTGATCGCCTTGGTGAAGCTGGCGTCGCCGAGAAGGGCCGCGTGCTGCGTCAGCCGCACCGGCCGAAACGAGACGCCGCGGCTGCGGTCTGCCTCCGCCGGCGCGGCGGCGGCGTGCCGCATCTCGTAGACGGTCGGGTTGCCTCCGTAGATGGGCGTGACCGACGAGATGATGTGGATGATGGGCGCGGCGGCGGCGGTGACGCCCGGGATCAGCCGAAACTCGTCGGAGTGGAGGTGGCTGAAGAAGAGGCCGTCGATCACGCCTGCTCGCAGGCCGGTCCCCGCTCCAGAGGGGCCCGGCACTGGCGGCCGGGGAGCGCTCCGCCGGGCTCGCGCCGATCTGCCGCCGCACAATCGCAAAGAAGCGGTCCGCGTAGATCTGGTTCCACATCGGCTCTCTGCGGAACGAGTCGAGAGTCGGCGGGAGGTGCCCCGCGATGTACGCGCGCTCGCCCGCCGCAGCGACAGCCGCGAGCTGCTGCTCGAGCCTACGGCGGAGGCTCGGCCGCGACATGGCCGAGGCACGGCCGCCCGAGACATGGCCGCGACCCGCCGCTCGCGCCAGGCAAACTGGCCGCGCGGGTCGGGGAGCGTGGAGGGGCTCCAAGGAGCGTTCCACGGCATGCGCGGCCCGACGGCGGAGTAGAGGTTCGTGTTGATGGCGACGAGGCGCAGGCCTGGCCGCGAGGCGGAGGGAGGCACGAGCTGCTGCGCGTAGAACCCGCCGGCGGCGAGGCTCGCCTGGCGGGGCGGGGCGTGGGGCGGGGCGTGTGGCGTGTCCTGGACGAGGGCCTGAGGGCAGGCGGCCCAGGCGGCCCGGCGGCAGGCGCGCCTCCTGCGCCGCGTCCAGGTCGCAGATCTGCCGAAAGAGACTCGCCTGCCGCGGGCCGCGCATCGAGCAGTCAGGGCGTCGCCTCCTCTGCGACGCGAGCCAACGCTGAGCGGCGCGGGTTCATGCGAGTCCGAGCTGGCTGGGAGCGGCTCGCCTGTGTCCGGAGCGGCTCGTTCTGCTCGAGGCCTACCTGGTAGTCCTCAAAGACGTCGTTGTTGCCGATGACCGGACACGAGATCACGCTGCCCTCGTACAACGCGTGCAGCTGGTCGCGGACGAGGCGCAGGTTCGACATGGCCGTCGCGAGGTTCGGCATGTCATGGCCCGACATGCACCCGAGATACAGCACAAAGTCGGGCGACGCGACCAGCCGCCGCGCCTCTCGGAAGGCCATCTTGACCAGCGCTGGCGGCCCGTCACACCCGTACTGGCCAAACGGGCTGCCCGGCTCTGGAAGTAGGCAGCTGTCGGGGCACGCTTGCCACGAGGCGGTGCCCGTCTGGTTTGGACCACAGCGGCCCGCGCAGCGGCACGACTTGCCATACGACGCATTGTAGCGCTGCAGCACGTGGGCGTCCGAGATGATGACAGCGCGGCCACGGCGATCGACGACATTGAAGGCTGGATCTTTGGGGGGGAGCTCATGCGGCGGTTGCGAGGAGAGGATGGCGCAGGCGGCAGCGGCGGTAAAAATGGCAATCAGCGCGATGGTGCAGGAGGCGGAGGCCCTGTTGCTAGTGGTCTCGGCGCTGCGCCGCAGCAGCGGCGAGGATGGCGGTGCTGCTTGGATCATCGGGCCAAACGGATGTGCCGGAAATCCGGCGCGTGGAAAGCGCGGATTCACGCCCTTCCTTCGAAGTAAGTACCACCCACTATTTAGGGTGGGCTCCGGCGCCCGCCCGCATCGCCCCCAGATGGCAAGCGGAGCCTACCCACGTGGCGCGCGGGTGCCCTCGGCTTACGGACCGAGTCGCACGAGGCTCACATTAAGTGAAGAGGGCTGCCGTCGTAACCGAACGGGGTCAACTTTTGTTTTTGTTCACTTAGTATTGGTCCACCCTACGATCTAGGGGCGCGGATAGCACGCCCACGAGAGCTCTATGGCAGCCCGCCAGCGGCGCGGCGCGATGGCACTAGCCCCTGCGGCCGCTCCGGCGTCCGTTCCGGCGGCCGCTCGGGCCGGCCTCGACATGGGAAGGCCCCCGCACGGGGGGTCCCGGCTCCCGGGGGGGGGCACCAAGCATGATCGTCCGGACGGGCCCTCCGTACACGGAAGCAGGGTACCGGAGGCATTCCCGAACTCAAAACAGGGTACCAAGGGCAGATATGAGCTCAGCTCAGTGAGATCTAGCAGCACATACCCTTGGTGCCCAGAATAGTTCAGTCTGAAAAAGACGGTCCGACCGCGCGGAGCCGTCTGGCTGTCTGCAGAGCCCCCGCGGGCA